TCCATGAAGAGCGTCTTGTTGTGGATGGCTTCATCCAGTGCGGAGTCAGGATACGCCATGGACCAGTTCCACCGGGAGAGAGGGACGGGGTCGACGAAGGGGACTCGGCCGTCGTGCTTTGCTGTTTGCGTATTAGTCAATGTTGTGAGTGAGAGCTTTGGGCCATACGTACCAGCATAGTCGGCATAGAAAGGATCCCTAACCAGAGGGATTTGCTGCTTCGTGATGAGCATTGGGTAGGTCAAGTTAAGCAACGTTTCAAGCGAGACATTGGCGGGCGCGCCGGACGGCGGCTGTGACGACCAGTCGGCAGGTAGGTCCAGCGGGGTGGCTGTCGTATTCAAGAATGCAGCCAGGCGCTTTTGGAATCCAGCCAGCAATGCGTCTGCCGCAGAGTCATTGGTCGTCGGGAAATCGATAGTGTACAGCTTGCTAGGGTAACGGACTGATTTGCCATGAAACGAGGTGTAGTTAGTGCTGTAGAGGGCTTGGTTGGCTCGGTCCCAAAGGTAAGGGTCCCTTGTCAGCACTCCTGCAGTATCGAGCACCGGAGACATGGACATGACATGATCGAGTTCGACCAGACCGTGAGATGGACGAGAACCGTAGACTCCCTGGACCTCGGCAGGATTGCGGATAGAGCCACCGGTATCACTGCCAAGAGCTAGATCTAACCATTCGTAAGAGCCGATGGAAGCACCAGCGCCTGACGAGGAGGAAGAAGGATCCTGGTATCCATCTCCACGTGGGTTGAAGGGTGAGTGAAGGTCGACCCAGTCAGCTGTAGCCGTTTCTCCATTTGCAAACTGCGAAGGCTTCTGTAGTCCGACAATAATGGCGCCCGCGTCAATCAGACGCGAAACAGCGGTTCCAGTGACATTGTTCTCCCCGTACAGATTGTACCATGCTCGATTACCGTTGCTCTGCCGCACGCCAGCGAGGCTGTAAATGTCCTTGACGCCAACACGGACCCCGGCCAGCGGTTTCTCATTGCTGGGGGTATAGTAGATGCGAGAGGGTACACCCACTGTGGATGAGACCAGACCGGCCACTTGGGCCGACAAAGGCTGGAATGTGCCGTCTGGCTTCTGAAGCAGTGGCTGCGTAAAGGCTCCTGCAAAGTCGCTGTAGAGACGGTACACTGGATAGAGCTTCCCAGTAGCCTGTTCGAGGAAGTACGGGCCTGATGGGACAACCCTGGACTCCAAAGGCACGAGGACACTGGAGCGGGAAGTATTGAAGGTTGTAGTGACATTGTCGGGTTTGTAGCCACGGACTAAGACTGCACCCAGGAAAGCGGGTGTAAACACATCATCCACATCCGTCCATGTAGAGAATAGAGAGGGCAACGATGATACTTTAGCTGTCTCCTCTTGGACAACAGTCACAGGGTAGAAGCCATTGACACTAGGGACATCCTTCAGGAAGGCCGCCGACACCGTCACGTTCCCCACTGAGTAAGGAGAGACAAAGTAATCGATATGGTCGAGCGTGACGGACAAACCAGTCGACACTAATTGAGCGGACACTGCACCAAGCAGCCCAAGGGCCGCCACGCCGAGTTGTAAAGAGCGTACCATGATCAGAAAACGAGTCTGCTCAAAGGGTTGTGACGAACAGGAGCTGAGGGCTGCCGATCGGCTGCATATATACCATCCCTGCCGAGACTATTGGAGCTAATCGGTGTCTTCGGAAACAGGCGGCAACCTCCGATTATTGACTTGACCTGTCCACGATTATTGATCTTTCCAGTAATTCGATGTTGCATCGACTCGAATCAATTGCATCTCCAAATCTTATCGTTATCAGGTCATCGGGTGATAAGCCGAACTTGCCGAGCGATATCGGGTATTCCTGCCAAGGTGGAGTAGTTGGAGTCGTTTGGACCTTCCAGAGTAACAGTTTCTGCAGCAATTGTTCTACCCACGTGGAAGCCTTTCTCGGTACTTAGTGCTGAAATTCAAGCGATGCTACATTGGCTATCAAATAAGGGCGGCCCTACTGCCACACCGGCCAGGCTGCCTCCACACCAGCCTTTACTCATGCTATAACCTGCCGCCTACCTTAGAACTTAAAGCACGCTCTTAATGAGGTGAAAGCCTTATTCTAGTGCAGGTAGAATCCTTCTCGCCTGCGTCTCTAAGTTATCTGCGCCCGAGGCAGCAGTTCAACATCTCTATATCAAGATCATGGGGAGGGTTCTGCCTGTACTAACAGGCAATCCTTACTCTTCAGGGAACACGCTTTGCATGCAGACATAGGCGGAGGATGTGGAAGGAGCGAAAGCTGGTGTGAAGGCAGCATGGCCGATGGGGCAGTAGCGTTTCCCTTTAACAAGCGGCCATAGATACCGTGCGCCCAAGTCATACTGAATAACCACGACGAGGCCATCCACAAATAGAACGAATTTTTCAGAAAACATTAAGTTCATTGGAGTTGAGATGGTGGTTAAGGTACATCATGGGTTTCGATACATACAGTTTCGATCACTACCGAGCGCTGTCGCAACTCCGGGGTGGCCTTATGGTTTCTAGGAACCCGAAAGATACACACAGACTACAGCTGCTACTGTCGCCATTTCCAGAGCAGATGTCCATCGGGCCCAATCATTGCCTCCAAGCGCACCCAGACTATTGCAGCTGTGGCAGCAAACAGCAGGGCGCTGACCAGTACCGACATGTTCTCGTACGCCTTCGGGGTGAGGGCATTGGCCGCACTTCTGACCAAGACACCACCAACCGGGGTACCGACCATGGTGGCCATGCCACGAACCATGTACAAAACCCCGTTGACGGAGGCAAAATTCTGTACCCCGAACAGCTCAACAAGGCTAGTTGGAAAGAGAGACACATATGCACTGGCGAAGGTGCCATACAGGATAGTGAACGTGATAAACAGACCCTGCGACTGCGCCGTCTGACCGGTCAAAGTGGATGGTAACCAGAAGGCAACGGTAGCGATGGCACTGAGACAAGTGGTGAGCAGAAGAGCATTTAACCGACCCAGACGATCGGCCACATGGCCAATGACGATTTTGCCCACTGCGTTACAGGCGTTGCTGAGGGCAATGAAGTTGGAGCTGGCTGTGGTACTGTATCCAAGCGACTGGGCGTACGAGGCGTAGAAGAAGACGGGTGTGTAATATGCAGCCGCCTGAAAGATGGCGCCTAATGCCTGGGCCATGAAACGACGCGTCCGGGCAACGCGCCAGTCCACCAGTGGCACGTTCAGAATACCATCCACACGACTGGTTCTCGAGGCATTTTCAATTGCGATACGACGCTGGCTGGCTGGCTCCCAGGCCATTGCACCGCTAGCGACCGCGACCAGCGCGAATGACAGACCACCAGTCAGGCGCAGGGTGTTGCGAAATCCGAGGGCGTTAACACACGCAGTCAGCGCGGGCGCCCATACCAGACCACCCACACCAGTGCCTGATAAGATGATTCCCATAGCTAGGCCTCGGTGATGGGTAAACCACGTGGGGGCAATGGTGACTGGTATCATGTAGCACAAGCAGGTACCAATGCCGTTCAGCAGCCCTTGGGTCAGCTCGAAATGCCACAACTTCGTGCCGAAGCTGGCCAGGATGAGAGAAAGCCCGAAGACAAGACCGCCCCCAAAAGAGACCACGCGAGGAGAGAAGCGCTTCGCCCAAGCGACCGCGAAAGGGCCTCCGATGGTCATCAGGGACACTGAGATGGTACCAATCAGATCGATCTCTGCCGGCGATGCTCCGGTAAAAGGTGTTCCGGGCTTCCGTGCCAGGCTCTCATACAGGGCTTGATAAACACCCCATGCGAAATTGAGACCACAGCAGGTGAAGATGATGACAAAGGAGGCCGCCACGATGATGGTGGATTTCCTGACAAATGGAAGTCAATTTATAGGTTTCGAGAGTACTTCAGGGGGGCATTGGTAGCTTACCAAGTCGAATTCCGCGCTGCATGGTCTTCAGCTGGACTCGAAACTATGGACATGGCTGTCAAGCGAGGCATGGTGCTGGCTAGATTGATCTCATCTTCGGACACAGCGCTGCGGGCGGTGATCGAGGTGGCCATTGGAGATGGAAATGTACAAATTTGCGAGAGTCCGAGAAGATTACACTGACTTGGGCCTCAAAGCTCCGGTGATTTCGAACGGAGGTCTATTTCATCTTATTAGACCGAATAAGAGTCATCTGAACCAAGCTGCAGGATGAAGATCTGACGTCTTTCGCATGGCTGCTGCGTGGATTAGATTGGTTGCTGAGAACCTCGGGTCCAGCCGACGGGTCACTTCGGCGGGTCAGTCCGGGAATTGCTGGGCATCAGATTGGACAAGGCAGATCACGCTGTAAACAACGACACAATTGTATATATCATACTGCCTGAGGTGTATAAGGCTTTTGTTGTGGAATTTATAGGTTAACAAATGGTGAGCAACACGGAAAGCACCCATCATGTAGCAGTGCCGAACCCGCCTTGAAATACTGTGGTTTGGTGTAGTGAGGAGCTGCTTGGTCTATGCCAACATTGTGAGACAATATGCCACCATTATCCCCAATGACAGTAGCAGTGATTGCTCAACTTAAGTGAAATTTTTCGCGAGAGTCAGTGTGGACGGTTACTGCTGGGTCACTATCCCGCAATACCCGCTAACTCCGCGGGTTACTTCCCATTGGCGGAAGAGACTTTGTAGTCCTATGGAGTGTCTGTTAAGAAAAAGTCATAACTAATATAGAGATGAAGAATTTTCTTCGTATTGGATATATATGTCAAAGCTAGACGGCTGGATGGTTATAAGTCGCTGCGGAGGCCATTCCATGTCACCGAGTCAGTCTTTTCAGTGGCCATCATCACTATGAGTAACCCACAAGATAGTGAAACCAGCAGCCAATCCTCCCAAGCATTGAAGGTGAAGCTGACCACAAACTGCTTGATGCCTTTTTGTATCAGTTGTAACTGACGGATGATACGTATCAGGCCGATGTGGAAAAATACCCTGGACTCCTTTTGTCTATGGGACAGGGCAAAGCCATTCCTCCACCCCTGCCGAATCGGGAAGACTATGTCGTCGATTTCGATGGCCCGGACGATCCTCAGCACCCCTTGAATTGGCCTCTCTTTACCAAGTACGCCATTCCTCCAGTTTCCGGACTCTCACTTACGCCTTCCCTGTTAGAATTCTCATATCGACGATCGCATGCTTTGGCACATTTATCCCATCATTCGCCAGTGGAGCCTTCGCACCTGGCTCTGCAGCAGCAGCCAAGTCTTTTCATGTAGGATCCGAAGTTGGGATACTGGGTACGTCGCTTTTTGTGTTAGGTTTCGCAGCCGGTCCTGTCATCTGGGCCCCCGCTTCGGAACTGTTTGGAAGACGATGGCCTTTGACACTAGGTATACTCGGAGGTGCTGTATTCACCATTGCATCCGCTGTCGCGAAAGACATCCAAACGCTGATAATCTGTCGCTTCTTTGCGGGAATGTTCGGGGCCAGCCCACTCGCGGTGGTTCCTGCTGTGCTGTCGGACATTTGGAACAATTCGCACCGCGGAGCTGCCATTTCGCTGTATGCAATCCTCGTTTTCTTGGGTCCGTTGAGTGCCCCTTTCATTGGAGGCTTCATCGCTTCGAGCTCGCTCGGATGGCGTTGGACCCTGTATATTCCGGCTATAGTGGGCTTTGCTTGGGGTGGTATCTGCATATTATTTTTGAAGGAGACATACGCGTCTTGCCTTCTTGTGTCGAAAGCGGCCACCCTTCGGCAGCAAACTGGTAATTGGGGCATTCATGCAAAGCAGGAGGAAGTCGAGGTGGACATACAGCAGCTGATTCAGAAGTACTTTACCCGTCCACTGCGGATGCTCGCAACTGAGCCCATTGTCTTAGTCATTTCCCTTTATATGTCCTTCATTTACGGCATTGTGTATGCCCTGCTTGAAGCTTACCCTTATGTTTTCGAGTCCGTCCATGGCATGGGCCCCGGGATTAATGGTCTTCCATTCATTGGCCTCATTATTGGGCAGATGGCTGCCTGTGGATTCGTTCTCTCACAGCAATCCGCCTATGTAAGAAAGTTAGCTGCCAACAACAACGTTCCCATCCCAGAATGGCGCTTGAATTCTGTTGTAGTTGGGGCTCCAGTGTTCACGATTGGCATCTTCTGGTGAGTCAGGTCACTTCATCCATTTGATTCGGTGCTGATTAGTGCTACAGGTTCAGTTGGACTGGCTTTACTGCTAGCATTCACTGGATGGCTCCAACTGCAGGAGGAGTACTGATCGGTTTCGGAATTCTCTCTATCTTCCTACCATGCTTTAACTATTTAGTGGATTCATTTCTCCCCGTGTAGGTGTGGCCTGCGCCGTGATGGAAGGAAGTGTGATGCTGACACTGTGTAGGGCTGCTTCGACCGTGGCTGCCAACATCATCCTCCGATCCAGCGTTGCGGCAGGGTTCCCACTTTTCTCGAAGCAGATGTTCGCGAACCTCGGGGTGCAGTGGGCGGGAACACTGTTGGGGTGCCTGTCGGCGATCATGATTCCCATTCCGTTCCTATTTCGAGCATATGGACCCAGGTTGAGAGGGGAAGGCAAGCAGACCAGCCGGTGAGTGCTGCAGCGGACACTGAGGGTTTGCGGGTAAGAGAAACAGGGTGATATAATACCACTGTGACACTTCACGAGCGATACCGCCTGAAGTGTGGGGGTATGATGGTAAGCACATTCACTTTAGGGATCAACTAAGATTCTCTAGCGGGCGATGGGGGAGGGTGGATCTGCTGCAGCTGTCCTATCATTGCGATCCTACAGACCTTTGGCCCGGATGTCTAACCTTATCCACGATTTACATACAAGTAAAACTAGATTACTGTATATATAATGCTCGATAATGAAAATTGCCTCAGAGAATTCTACTATACATCTTCTATCAGAACATTGACATTAGGGTGTTGCTTATTGTGTCATTGCCGGTCGGGAGCAGACGGAAACCGAGTGCCGCCCGACCGATGACGCTTGGCTCATCTTTCCCACTTCCAAATCTTTCCTCGTCCGCGATCGATATACTTAGATATTCATGATGAGCGATGCGACTGCCTTGAAGCGCAAGCGGGCTCGACTGGCTTGTGAACCTTGTCGGGAGCGAAAAAGGAAATGTAATGGTGAATCCCCCTGCTCGACGTGCACGAGTTGGGGCTATGAGTGTCACTATCAGGCTCCGCGACGCGTGAGAAGCAAACCCGCCGACCGGGGAACCAGCATCTGCGACCAGAATGAACCCATCCTCGAATCGAGTCCCCGAGAGGTGGGCCGCTTCACTGAGACCCTTGAGGTCAATTCGGGAGCGGCTTTTGTCAGAAAGATCGGCCTCAAAGTCGACCCAGCCAACGCGCCCAAATTGAACCTCTTTGGCTGGAATGTGGGCAGACGCAAGTCCCCTGCCGGACTCGCCCCCGTCGCAGCCTTTCCCATTGTCGAGATCCTCTCGTTGATGCAGATGAGGACTCTGGCGAATGTCTTTTTCTCCAAGGTGGATCCCTGCTATGGTTTTATCGATTCCAGCGATTTCTTCCGCCGCATGGACAGCCGCTGGCAGCCCAACGCGGTGGAGAGTACGTATGACGGCGTCTTAGCTGGGGTTGCCGCTCTCGGATGCCTTTTCTCAGGGACCAACATTAACATCACCGAGTCTCACTTGGTCGAACTGATGCGCTCGATCTCCGAGACTCATATCGGAAGTGTCCGTCCCTCACTGCACTTGGTGACTGTATGGACCCTGCGCGTGATTTATCTGCGCATGACTGCCCCTCCGTATCCCTGCTGGGTGACAAGCTCCACCTTGATGCACTTGATTGAAGCTTCCAAGCTCCATCAGCTATCAACAGATGACGATAATGATGTCGATATTCGACGGAGACTCATTGGTGTCGCTCAACATCTGAACCTCTGGATCTCCTACGATCTGGGTCTTTCCCGAGTTCCCCTGTGCAGTGATACGCTCGGACTGCCTTCGTCGCGACCCGGCGATTTCACCACAGAGCTCCTCGGTCTCCTACCTGTAACCGCCAGTCTGGGTCCGGAGAACCAACGTCCAGACCAGGAAATCGAAGAGCTATTACATCAGACATTGAACCGCAGTCACACCAAGCCACCCTCTCTTCTTTGCCAATGCAATCTGGTTCTATGTCTGCTCCGACGTCTCCGGTTAACAAACCTCACTGCATCGCCAACCACAATGACCAAAGTCCTTGACCTACTCAAACGCAGTCTATGTGCATCACGTGAAATGGTTGCCGACTGCTCTCCATGGCACCATGTACCTAATGTGCCGTTCCAGATGATCAGTATCATCCTCGAGATGGACACCAGCCCAGCACTCGAGCTACTGCCTGAAGCTATGCAAACGTTGAGGGTGGTGGCCTCTACCTACGATACGGAAACTATGAGGGAAGCGTATAACACAGCGTGTTTACTCATTCTTCTGTACGAACGGCGTAGACGTGCGGACACTAGGTTGCTGAGTACAGTACTCAATGAGTATCAGCAGTCACCAGCCACAGAGTCGTCGCTCCAGCAAATGGCAACTTCTGACGAAGTATCCTGGCTGGAGGGGCTAGTTGCTGATGTGCCAACCTTGCAGGGCCTTGACTTTAGTCAATTTTTGCAGCCGGACATGCTTCGAATGTCTCCGGATGCTTCTGCTTGGGAAAATAAGTCTAGTTGATTGCCAGACCCCTAGAGTAGATTGCCTGTGCATCAGATATAAGTTTTCAGGGGTCCAGTATAAGTCGGAGATATCACCTTAGAAACGTGCTCCTGACACACACCAAATGCCATATTAAAAGTATGAAACAGCACGATAGCTAAACTCGTCATGTGACTGACTGGATGACAGACATTCTCTCGGAGATAAATGGAGATGCTAAAGGGATGACCTAAGTACCCACTTGCAACGATGTTTATGGAGAACCACCATTTCCCCGCGATAATGCAGGCTGAGCGGGATCAGGAAGGCAGCCGACGATTCATTGATAAAACGGACCTGATGACACTCTCTCTTATGAAGGGCCCGGAGATAAATGTGGATCTACCGTCAGCCTGCAGCCCCACGGGAACCAGCTGACATGTTCACCCAGACTTTAGTATATACACATTAGGGTAGTTGAGTATAAGAATTTGGCCAGAGAACAACCAATATGCTCGTCATTTTTCACCAGCAGTATTATCATTTCACTACGTCCATTCCAATCCTACGTCCTGAAGCCTATCACATCCCACCTCGACTAGTCACACAACACCTACAACCGCCCCCCCTATAAAGCTTCAAGAAATCAAACACAAAACTATGCCTGAATCAATCATCATCCCCTCCGCCCACAAACCAGACGCCAAAAGCGCCAAACCCACGGCCACCTTTACAGGAGACGTCTACCTTGACCCGATCCATTTCGCCAGCGACGCCTCCATCGCCAATGTCACCTTTACTCCCTGCGCACGCACATACTGGCACACCCACGAGAACGGACAGATGATCAAAGTGGTTGCGGGCAATGGATGGATCTGCGATAAGGGAGGGGTCCCTCGTCGTTTGAACACGGGAGATGTTGTATGGGCACCGGCGGGGACGACGCATTGGCATGGGGCGGATGAGGAGAGTGTGATGACGCATTTTGTTGTTGGGTTGGGGAAGACGGTGTGGCATGAGGCTGTTAGTGAGGAGGAGTATAAAAGCAAAGGGGAGTAGAGGGAGTAGAAGGATATCATTTGGGTCGACTGGTGTTGGTTGTGGGGTAAACGGCGGAGCATGATATGAGTGGAGGGAGCGTTGTTCTGACTGAGTGTTTATTAGTGGGATTAGGAGCTGTATAGCTGACGAAAAGACAACCTATGATCAATGCATATTATTAGCATAGCAGAAGGTAGGCCATGGCCATCATTCGCCTATAAGCACACTCCGCAACATCCGCAATACGCGCTCGGCAATCAACGGAACTGATTAGCCCCACTCTCTTAACCCCATAATCCCATCCCATCCCATCTCATCTCACGTCATCTCATCCCCTCCACTACTGTTATCATCATCTTCTTCTTCTTCCTCACCATCAATCCTTTAATGCATCTATATCCATCTATACCCCAAAAACAATCAAAATTACAATCACAATCACACAAAATGCCCCGACTCCAACACCTCGCACCTACCCTCTCCCGCCTCTACCCATGGACCACCAGCCCCCTGATCGTGAGTGCACCCATGCGCGGCATGTCAGGCCCCGCCCTAGCCGTGGCAGTATCGCGGGCCGGGGGCCTGGGCTTCGTCAACAACGCCATCCAAAACGTAGCCGCAGATCTAGAGCAAGCATCGTCTTTAATATCCTCATCTACCCTCAAAACAGTACCGTCTCCCCATCTGCCCATCGGCGTGGGCTTCCTCCTCTGGGCCGACGACCTCGACACTGCCGTCGACGCCATCCAGAAATACAAGCCCTGCGCGGTATGGCTCTACGCCCCACCTAACGGCCAAGCAGATCTAGATACCTGGTCCCGAGGGATTCGTGCCGCGTCACCGGGAACCCAGATCTGGATTCAGATCGGGACGTTGTCCGAGGTGAGGAGTATCTTGAAATCGGCAGAGAAGCCCGATGTGGTTGTCGTTCAGGGAGCGGAAGCAGGCGGTCACGGCAGAGCTAAAGATGCAATGGGTTTGATTTCGCTCTTACCGGAGGTGGCTGATGCGATGGCGGGGAGTCAGATCCCGCTGTTTGCTGCAGGCGGGATTGCTGATGGACGGGGCGCAGCGGCGGCGCTGTGTCTGGGTGCGTCTGGGGTGGTCATGGGGACGAGGTTCCTGGCCGCGAGCGAGACCAGGATCGCGCGCGGGTATCAGCAGGAGGTTGTGAGGGCGGAGGATGGGGCTGTGGGGACTACGAAGACGTTGTTGTATAATCATCTCCGCGGGACGTTTGGGTGGCCCGAGGAGTATATGCCCAGGACGGTTATTAATCGGTCGTGGGTGGAGCATTTGGCTGGGAAGGGGTTTGAGGAGTTGAAGGTGCTACATGATGAGGCGGCGAAGCAGGGGGATCAGGCATGGGGACCGGAGGGGAGGCTGGCGACGTATGCGGGGGCATCGATTGGGTTGGTTCATGAGGTTAAGGATGCAGAGAGTATTGTGAGAGAGGTGAGGGAACAGGTGTTGGAGAGGTTTGGGGTTATGAGTCAGTAGGCTCGTTGTTGAGGTCAACGCGGTCTGGTTTCTTCATTGTTTATTTTGATATGTTGTTTGGCAATTCACGAGCATGATGAACAAGAGAAGAGCTGGGTTTTTATACGACTGATGATATCTAGTACTACTATACAAGACCATCCGTCACCACCCATCACACGCACTCAACCTGCCCATGGCTTAGAACTGGCAGTGACCCTCGTGCTCCTCCTCGCCCTGTCCATTTTCCTGACCGAATCCCTGGCCAAAGCCCTTGTTGATTCCCCAGTTCGATCCAGCCTGAGCGGCCTGGGTAGGCACCTGCACCTGGGTCTGGAAGGTAGAAGGACGGGCCTCTCCACTCACAGTCCAGCTGGGGACCTGGGCAGAGACAACAGCCGACGTAGCCTCCGCGGCGACAGCGGCGACGCTGCTGGGGGTAACAGGAGTCTCCGAAACAGTCTCACGCTCAGCGGACACACTAGCCGCGCCAGCAGCAACATGAGTGACAGCCGCAGAAGCGCTGCTGGCCTTGGCAGTAGCAGAAGCAGTGGTATTAGAGTTGGAGGAGCTACCGCTACCTCCGATGCAAGCAAAGCTCATCTTCTTGGTGTACTTGGAGCTATCGGCAGACCAAACGACCTCAGAGAGATCCCAGTCCATGTTGACATACGGCCAACAGATACGGCCATCCGACATGGTGACCATATCGCCGGAGACATAGACATCCGTGCTCTTGAAGGCATCGCCGACCTTGTTACCATCGGAATCGACCTCCTGAAAGTAAGTTCCGGCGAACTGTCCACGGCAGCCCATGGCGATGTATTCACAAAGGGGATCGGAGATCTCCTCCCAGGTGATGAGGGCCGAGGAGTTACCGAAGGTAGCGACGTGAGCGTTGGAGCAGTCGCTCGACCCCGAGGTCACCCAGGTGACCTGGCTATCGCCGTCCTCGGCACCGACGGTGGAGGTAGCCTGCTTGCCGACCTTGGTGTACTTGTCGCTGAACAGGGCGAGGGCGACATTGCGGGGGTTAGTGCGGTTACTGACGTGGGTGTAACCGTCGCCCATCCAGGTGTTCTCGGTCACGTCGACAGCGCCGCGGGAGACCCAGGTGAAGATGTACCGAGTGCTGTCAGCGAAACGGGCCAGACCGCTGTAGCTGCCGCCCATACCACCCATGGCTTCACCGGAGGCGCCGTTAGTGGTGTTCTCGTTGGAGATCTTGATGCCGTCGTTGGTCATGCCCTGGGTCTTGGTGTTCAGCCAAATGGCGCCCTGGTCTTCGGCGCAGATACTGGCATAGGGAGGCTCGTCAGCAGCCTCGAAGGCAATACCGGTGTTGTGGCTGCAGCCCCAGGAGCTGGAGGCGCCGGAGATATTTACGAGCGTGCCGTTGTCGGCAACGTATTCGATGCTGTCGCCGTAGTGGCCGGAGGCGTCGCCGGAGTAGTCGGTCACGACGAAGTAGGCGCCGTAGAGGCCGGCGGACTCGGAGTAGACCAGGTCACCGTTCAGGTCGGGGGAGGCGGAGAGACCGTCGGAGGAGTGGACGCCGGGACCACCGAGCCAGGTCTTCCAGGTTTGCTTGCCGTTGGTGTAGCGGTGGAGAACGGGGACGGGAGTGTCGCTGGGAGGAGCATTGGTGGTGCCGGAGGGCATGGCCTCGTTGGTCAACAGGGCGAAGCCGTCATTGTGGGCGACAAGACCACCGGCTGGAGTTGTTAGCAGGATTACAGCTGAGATAGGGTTGTATGCGGCATACCCTCCTGTCCACCGCTGACAGTGACGGTGGTTCCCGTAGCCTCAAATGTAGTCGGGTCCAGCTCAGTAACATGGACGTCAGACCCGCTGGCATCCAGGTACGCAAGATAGGCAGTCTTTCCATCAGGGGAGACAGCGAAGGGAGTCCGACGATGATGGACGTAGTCAGTCCAGTAGGCCGCCTCGATGGGGTTGAAGGAGCTGTCGAGTGCCAGCACGTCGACGTAGGTCTTAAGGTTAGACTCGGTGAGAGCAGCAGAGGCGCCCAGCGCCGCAGAGAGCAGAGAAAGAGCGAAAGAGCCACGCATGACGGGCAATAGTTGGTAAGCTGTCTGCAATGTGTGTGTTGCTGCTATGCAAATACCGGGGGACTTGTTCAGATATATAGGGCTGGTGAGACGGACTACCGGTTCCGAGAGGAGCGCTATTGTGGGAATTAAGGGTGTGGCCTAAGCCTTTCTGGTGCCATTGTTCTCGATGGGAGTGAGACCCTGATGGGGCATTTCCCCTGGATAATGGAACTGGGGTTTCATCTTGATCGATGCCAGGGTCTCGGCTCTTCACCGCCCGGCGGCCTGCCAAACTGGTGCTCCACTGTGAGGCTATATCAGAGTTCATATAAGTCTAATTCCACGCTACCTGCATTTGACCTGATTCAGTGAGAGAAAAATGGATAGGGGGGCTATATTACAGGCAGTAATCTCTGCAATTATGATGAAATGCCCAGTAGACCCCATGGGACACCACGGATACATGCTGATGCGGCCAGCGATGCCGATGGAGTGGGGATGCTTGGCAGCGGATACGTGAAACAGGACGGCTCCGGAGACTCTCCGGGAGCATCTCTTTCGTGGATTGGAGTCAGTTGGAGTATTAAGCTCATATAGGCTATTCAGTTGTCGGCTTTCTAGTAAATTCTAGCAATGTGCATGGACATGGGCATCAGCTGAGACATGAAGGAGAAAACTCAATATAGTAATCAGCTGTGGTCGCATATGTTTTAGCACAGGATGAACCTATTCGTTTCAGATTTATCTCATCATTCAACTCCACAGTTCACTGATCCGAGATGGCAGCACGATCGCTCAATGCGTTTACTTCGCGATATACCTCATACCTGCAATCGCAGCACAGGATGCTGGCTCGGAATAAGCGGAAAAGCTTCATTTGGGGAAGCTTTTCGACATCGGGACTCGTGACGCGAGATCTGGGTGTCCTAGAATGTCACCTGCATTTCGCGGCGCAGGACCCCGGCGGGGTGGTCCTCGTGACGGTGCATGGCTAGCTTCAAAGATCGGAAATAAATCAATCACAACTATACACGGCCAGTACTATATTTCAAACACACACAATGCATTATAAAGCGCTGGGTGCTCCGATAGGTCCTCTACAAATCTGATTCGATCTCCTGTTGGGCACTGGCATTTCATGAGACCAGTGCGCTCTCTGCTGATATATAACGCAGATAAAAGGGCTTAGCTCCTGCTCTTAGGGATTCAATTACTATGCGGCGCATAAAGCTACACTGCTCAGCCGAGTAGTAAAATAAAAGCAGTGAGCTACTGTCATTTATGAGCGAAGAACAGTGTGCATGCACAATATTATGTCCCATGTCCAAAAGTCATTTATATGGGTTGAATGCGGCAAAGCGGAGATCCGAAGGCCATTTGCCGGCTCGTTAGGTGTTTCAAACTTCTGTTTTGCTAGCAGGGTCATCTTCTGACTGCATATCCCGGAGGAGAACATTCGGCAGCTCTCTCTCATAATACTATACACCATTAGCCCCAAAGCAAACTCGACGCATATTCCTTTCCCGAAATAGACTCACATCACGATAAATATTACGTAGTCGCATTTCCATGAAACACTTGAAGGCCATGGTCTTATTCATGAAGGCGTCATGCACTGCCTTGGCTTCCGGATCACACGAAGAGACCAAGACTCTTTTGAGCTCCTCTCGAACAATGGGCCACCCTCCATGGGATTCCAAGCCTAGCATATATAGAAGATGGCCCACATGCATCTGGATTAGAGCATGGTAGACCTTGTGCCACACCTTATGCATATCTTCGACAAAAGCGCTAGCGCCAGGAGGAATTGTACTAAGTTCAATGCGAGTGCGGAAGAATGTAGGTCTGTGTATCCTTGCTCCACCAAAGTCTCGCACAGCAAATCCAGTAACCTCTTTTGAGGTAGTATTAATGCGGACGCATATGTTCTGAGCATGAGCTTCAAGGCCAATTCCATAACGGACCAAGGGTGGCAGAAGCAAAGAGAACAACTTTGCAAGATATCTATCATTAAGGGACATCTGTTAGATAAAAAAGCGAGCTAGACCATGCTTGAGGTGGGTGGGGACAGTACTTTCTAAGCCATGTTTGCTTTTTCCGGAGATCGTCGAGACCAAACATGATCTCCATGTATGTTCGATTATCCTTATATGGCTTCTGAAATAATCCAGCAACTGGGATAATGGTCTCTCCAAGCTCTTCCGCTTGCATTTCCGGACTTTTGCGTATAATGCATGTTAAATGGCGTGCTTTGTCAAAATCATCCTGGCCGCCTGTGATAGAAGCGGCATCTTCAAAGATCCACAAGTCCTGTGGCAGTAAGGTTCTCAGCGCCGTGCTGAGTGCTGGACTCAAAGCAGCAGTCCATGGTGTAATAGTTCTCGGGCCCGATGTGATCTGACAATTTAGCGAAAGCTTAAGATGCAAAGGGGACCCCACATCAGGGAGAAATGATATAGTGCGCATTGAAATCTGTGCACGACAGCATCTCCTAACAGCGCCAATGTGATGTGCATCAGGAAAGAGCGGCAGGATGCTCGGAAGCTGACGGGTGAAACACGGCACTACTACTCTGTCTGGTGAATCAGGGCTAGAAATCCCTAATTGCCCCAAAAGAGGTTTCAGTAAACTCGTGTATGGTCCGAAGGTTTTCATTTCGGATCGTGGTAAAGACAGAAACGATAGCTCAGGTTCCAGCAGCTCAGGAATCTCGTCAGGTGTTATGGGCTTCAATGGCGGCTGGGCAAGACATGCCCGATGTAGCTTCACAGCGTTAACACTACGGCAATCAGGATCGAGAATGGTATCAGGAAAGCTCACCGGATGCGTTGGATGTCCAAGCACAACGGACTGCTCCCAATCACACAAAGGAGACTTCAGGTGTAGTGTCGGCTGATTACTGGCTATCTCCAGCCATTTTGCTGTCTCATATTAGAGTTGGGCTTTTAGAATATGCCCTGTAGGCTCACCTTGATTGTCGGTAGAATTTCTGACCTCCTTCACAAGGGTCTCTACAGCAGCATTGGTAAAGTGTTCACGTTGCCAGAGGCAGATAATGCGGCAAATAGCACCCGGGTCTAGCTCTTCTGATATTTCCCCTTCGACTGTTTGAGTGAGCACTGGAGGAAGTAGGTCATCTGCACGTAGGAATCCAGTAATTTCCCCACCGTTGTTCTCGACATAGGCGGAATTCCGGAGACCACATTTAATCCAAGACTCTCCATTCCCGGCTGGGTCACGTAAGCACAACATCCAGTTTGGGCATATAGACTTCTCAATGGTTGCGCTGGCCAGGCCCTCGTTCACTGCACTGGCCAGAACTCGCTTGGTAGTCTCGAAGAGAGCCTGCTGCCGATTGAGCGATGTATTGGTTTCATGGTCTGCTGTCTCGGTGATGTGCGTTGTAACTTTGCACCCAGTCGAGTTGCGTACGACAAATTCTTTCCATTCGGTCGTTTGCATCGTAGTAGAACCTTCTCTCAGGTTAGCTGGCATTTTGCTCAATCTCAGCAACTGCCTTGACAACAGAAACAGCCACCCTGGACTGGATGCGATCCAGACTATTAAGCGATAAAAAAATATGGGATTTGGAAACGCGACATGTAATACCTCAACAGTTCCATGTCGAATACGTAGTTAATGACAGCCGAAACCATGAATGAACCCTATGGATGCTCCCATTAATGTTCCTGCCGACGACGCTGGAATGCAACATTGCTCGGAAATGGATGAAACCCTCCATCCGAAAATGGATGACCGCGGTATTTCCGGGCTCAATGCGATAATGGAAAGCTAGCTGTGGAATCTTTAAGGTAGTAGTCGAATATAAGGTGTGTAGGTGGAACATCACGGTATGATCGGTGATGGATGTGATGATTCCATAGTAAGACCTGCTACATGGAGTAAGGGTAGTAATATGGCAAGAAACACCCGGACTTCGGAGCCAAATACGTCATTAGCTAAGCCATTTCCCAGCTTCGCGAATGTCAGTTGACAACATTGGGTGGAGAAATACTGCATAGAAAACGAATCGCGCATCCGTGGCATGTCGATAGATTCAGATTTCCCAATCCTAGAACACAATATATGTTTCGAATATTGCAAAAGTGACACATACTGTATGGAAGCAGCCTTTCCACCTCAACTCTGGTGGAAAATTCCATAGACGACCTGCATCAAACTAATGGCCAGTTTCTCGTAAGTAGACCCCGATTAAGGCGTTCAATATACTCACAGTTTGCCTAACCCAGGGATGACAACTACGACTGCTCTGCATATGCAGCATGTCGCCCAACACCTCCAAAACACCTTTTTGACACTGTTCTGGCCTATCATCAAGCCCCACGAGACTTGTGTATTGACCTGGGCTGCGGTAACGGCGCTGCAACCCGCGGCCTAGCCAGCCACTTCGGGACGATCTTTGGAATTGATCCCTCCGAGAGCATGTTGAAGGAGGCCAGAGCACAGACAAAACGCAGGAATGTTCACTACCGCCAGTGCTGGGCAGAGTCTCTCCCCTTCGTCCAGACAGGTACAGTTGACTTGGTAATAGCTTGCCAGGCAGCACATTGGTTTGACCCTGACCTGGTATGGAAAGAAATGACGCGAATCGTTCGCCCTGGAGGAACTGTTGCTTTCTGGAACTGGGGTAATTATGTTGTGGTCGGACACGCACATGCTAACCGCGCATTAAGAAAGTTTTCTTCTGAAGATCTGGCGTCTTACTGGCCGCAACCGGGGAAGGCGATCTGGGATGATCGTATGCGTCCCGTTGAATGCCGCGACTTCTCTAACTGGACTGATCACACAAGGTTAGAGAGTGATCCCTCTGGGGCACCTCATGCGTTGAGGACAGTAGAAAACATTCGGATGCAGATTTCAGATACACTTGGTGGTCTGGAGGCATTGCTGCGGACATGGAGTTCTGTGCATGAATGGCGAAGGGCACATCCTCACGCTGCTTCAGTAAGAGATGGCGGTGCTGGTGACATCGTTGATAACCTAATACAAGACATGATTGAGGGTGAAGAGGACTGGCGGCGTATTACCATGTCCGGGGGGGACTGGCGGGAGATCAAGCTGGAATTAGAAACGCTCAGCGTTCTCCTTTTGGTTCGCAGAGCATGATATTTGTCGCACTTCAGACCTTGGTCCATAAATACCTTGGTAAAGTTTGAAGTTATGTACACTATAATAAGAAAGTGAGAGCTTGTATCTTGCATCTGATCAATTATTTAATGGTGTGATCCATTCCTCCGGCGATTCAAGGATCTTCATTACGTAGCTTGTAATTGACACTTGAGCATCGAAGAGAGGTGCTAGTACTATTAGAAACTAGGAGCGTCACACATATCCAGATCAACATGGGCAAGTCGAGAGGGAATCCTAAGATTGATGTATATGCACCTGAAACGTAGTCAGATGCAATTGAGAGATTGCTGTATCGGCCGTTGAACGGCTTCGATCCCACTAGGCTTACATCATGGTCCCATTGGCTCCAATGCTACGTTCTGATAAAAACTTAGTCAGATAGTCTTATCCAGTTTAAATCACGACAGTCGATGTTCCGCATCAATTTATGTTGGATAATTCAATGCTCGGCGAGCCCTTTATTCGAGGCACATTCAATACATCAGAAAGTGTCGGCTAGTAAAGACCAAGAACATTGAGACCTACATCTAACTTATTAGGTGGACTGTGCTCCTTAGAAACCACGCAGCAAAGCGCTTCCGCATCCCCATCGCAGAGACTAGACAGACCGTCTACATTGGCCATCAAAGGCCTTTGCTTTCACTAGGCCCACATATCAGGATCATTCTGAAGTCAATGCTACATTTCAATATTCACTCAGTCAGATGATTATGTCTACGTTAGACACCATTAGTCACTGTCTCACATCAAGTCGTATTGCGCAATCCGAACCCAATCACATAATATACAATGAAATCAACGCGCAAAGTCCGTTCCAGATAATTGTCTCAATTATCGTGCCAAGCAACAATCCCAACCGTCTCCCCACGGCTAAACTTAGAACCGCCTTAATAAAACCTAAAAGCGGGGTAATAAGCCACCTCCAACAACAGACCCTGGGGCAAGGAACAAACGTCTCCATTTTCCTCGGGAAAAGAACAACAAAGTAAGCCTCACATAGCATGTGAAAGCTTCATTTCCAATTGATTAAGCAATCAGACCACTGCGTTAGCTAAAATTACCACTGGCCACCTGACCTGCACGAGCTCCACGGCCCAGAACCAGCTTAGTGCTGACCGAGACAGGTAGATAAGCGGCCTGAGCGATACGCTAATGTGTGCCTAATCCCGACATATTGGTCGGACTGGTTGGGTTCGGGGATTGCCAAGTTAATTTAAGCTGTGGTTGCATTGGGGGTCTGATCACACGATAAATTGTGTTACCGAGGGAAGATGGAAATGGAAGGGGGGGGGGAGCTTGTTATCGTACAATATCACATTCAACATAGTAATCATAAGAAATGCCATCATAGCACATCACATCGCAATCTACCCTCCCCCATTCTATAATGTGATCTGAGTAAGATAAGAGATCAACACCTCCCCACCCCAGCCACCAAATCCCCCGCAACCACATCCACCCCCGCCGTATCCGCATCTTCTATCCCAAACGCTAAGAACATCACATCATCAAGATACCCATGATACTTCTGCCCAGCAGTTTTCCACCCGATTGACGTCACATACATCATCTCCGTCTGATTCCCCTCGTCCATCATTCCCCGTCCGTGAATCCACAAAGGCTTATCCGAAATCCCGTAGATCTCAAACGGCGCCCTTTGCCAGAACAGCATGACGTACGGTTCGTAGCTACTATGGAATCCCACAAATCGCTTATGCTGGAATATGGTTAAGATGACTGTGTTCGAGTCATCCGGTTGGCAGTTCGGGTCTGCACGCATACACAGCGTCACTGCTAGGGAGTTCGTGGCTTGGTGGATGGATTCGTGGTCAGGGTCTTGCATATGCGGTAGGTATTTCTGAAGACAGGCTGCATCTGCGCTCGCTGCTGCTGGAGCGAGGTCTGCGCCAACGGATCCGTCTAGGGTCAAAGCAGCGAAGGCTCTTGTGGGTGCCACATCGTAGTGAACATAGGCGTTGCCGGCTCGGTCCCAGAAGAGGAACCAGTTCTTTTCAACGGCAAAGTACGGGGCCGTTGTAGGGCGCTGGAGTTCTGTGGCGCGACGGAAGCCATAGTCTGTGATGGTGTCGGAGGCAGGCCAGTCGACTAGCAGTCTGAAGTCGAGAATCCACTGGCCAAAGCAGGTTACGGCGGAATTCGAGCCGTAGATGGTGTACGGGGCGTCTGGGCCGTAGAAGACGCGGGCATCATGAGGACCGATGCTGAGGGCGAAGAAGGCGAGGCTGCCGGAGCAGAGGGCGTTGTTGCCCTCGGTTGCGGCAATGGGGAGGATAAACGGATAGTCGATACAGCGGAGAGTGCGACCTTTGTCTTGAAAGACGGCATCACAGACAAGTTCGACGAACCAGGCGCTGTCTTTTTCGCGACGACCGGGTTCATGAAGCTGCGCGGTGATGATCCAGGTGTTGGGTTTGGAAGGGTGCGGGATGATGCTGGGGTTGATACCGCGTCGGGAGCGGAAGTCGATGCGGAAGTATCGGCCTTCCGGGGTCGAGTTGGATGTTATCTCATGGTGGGTGTCGGCGACAATCTGGCTAACGGTGCTGTCGGGGAGGGTTTTGAGGTCGGTGGTGGTGGCGGTCTCAAGGCCAAGGTCGAGATCAGGATGGGTGTCGACGTGAATGGCACGATAGAGATAGTAAAAGGTGCTGAGGAGGAGGATGAGAAGCGCCACTAAAGGCACGAAGCGCAGTATTCGGGAGAGCATGGTTGTGAAGCGGAGGGGAGGGGAGGGGTGTTGGTCGAGGGACCATCGCGCCCGCCGTTAATGTCTGCATGATGGGAGACTGCGATATCGCGATTAATTAGGGTTGCATCCGAGTTAGGCTTTCCAGCTTACAGCAGAGAGAGAGAGGAAAGACGGCATCCCCCGCCTGTGAGTGGCGTGCCGATCCGGACGTATTGCTGTTTTCACTCGGGATGCAACATGTGATAAGAAGGTACAGAATAACACGGTCAGTCAGGATGCGCTAGTTGCAGCCGTCTAGAAGCCACTGGATGCCGGCCAGGGCTCGGGCTGGAACTATTGCTTTTTAGTGGCGAGCCGGACTGTGTCTCTCGTCCCGAAGCGGCAACCCCACCGGTATCTCCCTGTCGCTTGGGCCTCTCAGGGACCAACGAATCCACCAGGAAGGCAAATGGCAGATGGGTCTAAGATGAGCTTACGGCACACTAGTAAGGAAAGGCGACTACACCAAATCACCCAACAGAAGAAGCAAAAACTGAGACATTCATTTCGGAGATGCCTGGCAATTGCAGCATCAACTACGCGTCACTCGGCGATACAGCCACTGAGCCAATCGCACACTCGGCTCATCGATCAATTTGGTTACGATCTCCGCCAACCAAAAGGTCACCGGCAGCAGAATCAAATGAGTAGCCAGAAAGCTGACCTCCAACCCCAGAGGCCCCGTGCGGGGGAGCGGGAAGCGATCGATCCACCCGGGACAATTTGTGGCATGCGAATCGCGCACCCAACCCACCGCAGCATACAGCCGATCACCAAGCACCCACAACACCGGTCCATGCACTAGATAGAAGGCGAAGGATATCCGCCCCAGATACTGGTTGAAGCGTAGCTCGAAAAATCTCTTCAGCCAGCCGATCCGCCCAATTGCCGTCACGATGAAGGTGGACGCCCAAAACAAATAAAACCACTTGTAGTCAAACACCGCTTGGGGCTTCAAGAAGGACAGGTAGTACCACCCCGGCGAATCCCGCAGCGCCTGCAGGTCCCACGTGCGAGATGGCACGCCGCCCAGGTAGATGCTGACTGCAAAAAGGAAGTAGATGATCCCCTCCTGGAACGGTCCCAGCATCAAGAAAATGTCCGGAAGGTTGTCGCGTGCCGCAAGCAGGTCCAGGTCGCAAAGCAGCATGCCGGAGATAAATAGCGCTCCGAACCAGCCATCGGCAATGTAGAGAAAGTAGAAGATCAGTCCGGCCTCGCCAGCCAGACGCATGTTCCGGCGAAGGCGGGAAAAGGCCAGCAAAGCCGTATAGACGATGATGGATCCGCGGAATTCGACGGGAATGGACCAGGAGTGGAAGTTGTAGGTGAACCATGGCTCACCACCCCCGCGGAAAATGAAGCTGAAGTTCTTGAACTCGATATACCAGTTCCACACTTCTTCACCATAGGTGCCTTTTAATTCGGGAGTTGCGCGGACATGGAACAGGTGAAGGAAGGTGAGATAGATGAACGTGGTGGCGATAACAGGAAGGTGAAGACGCAGCCATCGCCGGAACAGCGCGGAGGACAAATTGTCGCCCAGCTGAAGGTATTCACCCGCCTGGATCAGCGCCAGCGGTTTGGCAGATAGAACATAGCCCGATAGCACGAAAAAAACACTGACCGCAAAGTGCCCACCGGAAAAGAAGGTGCGAATTCCGGGAAACGCGACCAGGAAGTGTTGTTTCTCGTAACCATATGCATTTTCAAAGATCCGCTCAGCGCCCATGCCATCGTGTGCCCATAATTCATGATGCCCCCAGTACACCAGGAAGGCTGCAAACCCGCGCAGCCCGTCTAAGTAGGCTGTCCGCCGGGCTTTCCCCGTTGACGAAGTGTTGCTCCCACCCCAGGACAGAAAAGATGGTAGGAGCACACTGAGCCAGCGGGCTTTGCTCCGGAGATCCACCGAGAGGGGCAGAATGGACTTTTCACGATCTGGCGAGAGGGTGCGGACGGGCATAGTGAAAAACAAGTCGGGCAAAACGCGTCGTCAAGACGGAGTCTCGCTGGCTGAAGATGAGGGGCGATATTTGAGGGAAAGACTGGTGACATTCAGAGTGCCCAAAATCCCGAGCTGGGCTGTCGGATCGACAGATTGCAGAGCAGTAGTCAGCTTATCGTGTCTTGGCCCAGAAGCACATGCGTCGGACTCATTTCCCATCCGGACAGAGCTAGCAGACTAAGACCCGAGGTAGCATTGAGCAACCCCGGGCTCTGGCAAATGCGATCGACATGGGTGCGATATGTCTCGACCCAATCGCTCGACAGGCACACCGAGCGGGCTCCTCTCAGCCGGGCCCTCGTGAAGCTAAGAGCATTAGTGTCACGCAGGTGGGTGGAGCCCGTAATATAGCTTCGAAATGCAATGCCCTGAATTGCCCTGGTCAGGTCCGAATGGCGCTGGTTTCTGGCCGCGCGTTGCGGGGAGAGCTGATCTGGTCAGACCGGCTCGCTCTGGCTCATAAACATTCTGGCCCTCAGCAGCGTGTGTTTTTTTCTGCTCGTCCGCCGAACCCCTCGTCTCTCATCCCCCTCATGGGTCAGTTGGGCCAGTCCGTCACAATGCAGTTGAAGACTCCCATACCTGCCATGCCTGCCATGCCCGCCATGTCCGGTGTCTGTCTTCCACGACAGGTTCGCCGGGTGGTGCCGCTCTTCCTGGCAGTCTTCTGCCTAGTTTTCTATCTTTCGCTTACAGGCACCTTCGCCGAGTTTCACGGGAGCCTCGCGCGTCAGAGCAAGTGCAGGCTCTTCCCCCGCAAGATATGGCAGTCATGGAAGGTCAATCCCTTCGAGTTTGAAGAGCGTGACCTGAACGTGGCCCGTACCTGGACCTCTATTAACCCAGGATACCGCTACGAGGTGCTGACCGATCAAAACGACCTACATTATGTTGAAACAAACTTCGGGCCTGATGGCCTCAATCGTCCCGACATTGTCGAGACCTACCGCTCCCTGACCGCGAAGATCATCAAGGCCGATCTACTTCGCTACCTCGTAATGTACGTGGACGGTGGAGTATACGCTGATATCGACGTCGAAGCCCTGCGGCCATTAGATCGCTTCATCCCCGAACGCTTCAACGAAGCGGACATGGACCTGGTGATTGGTGTCGAGATCGACGAACCCGACTTCAACGACCATGCCATTCTGGGTCCCAAGTCACAATCCTTCTGCCAATGGACCTTTATCAGCAAACCACGTCAACCAGTCATGATGCGGCTGGTGAACCGCATCCTCGAGTGGCTGCACGATCACTCTGTCAAGCAGGGCAAGCCCATCTCCGACCTCGAGCTTGACTTCGACGACATCATCAGTGGAACCGGCCCGTCCGCATTCACGGAAGCTGTACTGGCCGAGATGAGCGCCCGCACTGGCCAGGAAGTGACCTGGAAGACGTTTCACGACATCCCCGAGTCAAAGTTAGTGGGTGGTATCCTAGTGCTCACAGTGGAGGCCTTTGCTGCAGGCCAGGGTCACTCGGACTCGGGTAACCACAATGCGCGATCGGCGCTGGTTAAGCACCACTACCACGCGTCGGGGTGGCCCAACACCCACCCGCGTTTCAAACACCCTCTCTACGGCGAAGTTGAACAGTGCAACTGGAATAAGCAATGTGTGGCGGACTGGGATGCCAACACAGCGGCTTTCGCGGCCCTATCACCCGAGGAGCAGGAGCAGCAGATCGCCATGAAACAAGCCGCTGATGCCGCTGAGGCCGAGATGGCCGTGGAAGATCTAGCGGGGGATGACGAAGACCTTGGGCTCGCCCTCGAGTGAGGAAAAGAAAGCATGGGGATTAATTAGATGACTACTATTGATCTTGAAATGTCCGGGACGTGACAAACCCCTCTGGAGTAACGGTTGTTCGGGCGGTCGGAAGGGTATTTGATGTTCATTGAATTATGGCGTATGATGTATAATGGCTTAGATTTGATGCTAAACAAAAGACCGAGCTTGTCTGTTATTTGGTTATTTGAAATAAAACTCATTGCTCGTGATGTTGACTTCCATGATGCTAGTTGCTGCTGTCATTCATCATCAAGTTATTTTTAGCCTGCATGGCTTGGCAATTGCAGGCATCCCTCGTGCTCATCCTGACGACCGTGACAAAAACTGCAACAAGTTACACGGACGCCTGCTTGTTGCACTGCTCCGGAATACAAACTCCGGCTTCCCGTGGGATTGGGATCAGTTGCAGCTCATAAGAGCCCTGTCGCTTTGGAGGGGCTTGGCTTTGACAATCCGTATCTAGAGTTGGAAACGCCATTCGCGCGACCGCAATCAGATGTAATGGCTCATCCTGGGTTGCAATTAGCAATTGCTTCTCCGATTACGCAGCTTCCTGAAGTTTCTGACGGCGTGCAGGATCTGCTGGTCGGAAAAAGAAAACATTGCATGCCGCCAAGACTGACGATATAGGGTGATGGGGCGACGGGGTTCCCGATAACATTTATTGCTTGTTAGTCATAGTGGCTACTATCAGATCCACATAATGCCAAAAACACCATAGCGGCAAACAAACGACGACAGAATTAATTATCATCAACAACCGGTGAGTGATAGGAAAGATCCCATGCGGCACCGGAATGTCGCCATCGCCTGGTGTGCTTTATCGACCCAATCACACCAATTCAACCTGCTGCGGTATCGCCAGCATAAAGTGATCGCCATTTCCCCCCACCATCCAGCTTATCGTGGAATGTTTGCTTTTTCTCATCACATCGGCCTCAATTTTGAGAACCCACCATGGATAATATCCATAACACCCAAAAGGACCCAGATGTCTACATCTCGCCCACCCTCAAACCAGGGCCTGCCCTCCCCAAAGTCGGTGACCGCACACCGCGTATCGTCCACGATGAAGAGGCTCAGAATCTACGCAAGGGGTTGCAAGAACGCCATACCCAGATGATAGCCATCGCGGGTGCCATTGTAGGCCATTCCCCTTTCTCGCGACAATTTGAAATGTCAATATTCGTACTACGTACTGAATAATTCACCAGGGAACCGGCCTCTTCCTTGGTCTAGGCAGCTCCATCCAGACTGGTGGCCCGCTCGGCGCCCTACTCGGCTATCTACTGATCGGCCTGGTGGTCTGCGCTGTGCAAATCGCCCTAGGTGAAGTGTCAGCCCTGATGCCCGTGACCGGCTCTTTTGTCCGGCACGTCGAGCTACTCGTCGATCCGGCTCTCGGTTTCGCGATAGGTTGGAACGTCGTCTACGGTTGCTTCATGTCCGTGCCCAGCGAGATCTCCGCGGCTGTCGTCCTAATTCAGTACTGGAATGACACCCTCAACCCCGCTATCTGGGTGACGATCCTGATCGTCATCTCGGCAATCGTCTCGCTGCTCTTCATCCGAGTCTACGGAGAAGTAGAGTTCGTCTTCGCCATCCTGAAGATCCTCCTCATCATCGGCATCATCCTCATGGGCTTGGTGATCGACCTCGGCGGCGTCTCGGGTACTCCGCGTCTCGGGTTCCATTACTGGAAAGACCCCGGCCCGTTTGTCGAATATATTGCCTCGGGACCGTGGGGCCGATTCCTCGGTTTCTGGGCAGTCACGACAAATGCCGTATACTCTTTCTCCGGGGTGGAAAGTCTAACCATTGCAGCAGCGGAGATGGCGAACCCGCGACAAAACATCCCCCGCGCATGTAAACGCGTCTTCGCGCGCGTTACTATCTTCTACTTTCTCGCTGTGCTGATCGTCGGGATGATAGTTCCAAGTAACGATCCCCGACTGGGCAGTGAATCCGGCACGGCAGCGCAGAGTCCATTCGTGATCGCTGCATCCGATGCAGGGATTAAAGTAGTACCGTCGATTATTAATGCCGTTGTGTTGACGTCTGCGTGGTCAGCATCGAATCAGAGTATTCTGGCTGGAACACGCACGTTGTACGGTCTCGCGCTAAAGGGACACGCCCCGGCGGTGTTCTTGCGGACGACAAGACATGGTGTACCGTATGCTTGTGCTGTGGCGCAGATTGCTGTGTCCGCGTTAGCGTACCTTACGTGCCAGAACGAGGCTTATACGGTGTTTAATTGGTTGTTAGATTTGACGGCGGCGGGTGTGTTGATTTCGTGGGGCACGATTGCGATGAATCATATCAGGCTGATGAGGGGGTTCAAGGCGCAGGGGTTGGATACGGCGGAGATGCCGTGGCATCATTGGTGGTCTGGTGAGTGGCTTACATACCTTTTCCGGGATTGACTGTGGCTGATGAAAGCAGTGTATACATCCTGGTTTGCTTTGGTGATGTGTGTGATTGTTTTGCTCACGGGTGGATTCACGGTGTTTACTCATGGCAATTGGGATGCTTCGAGTTTTGTTTCGTCGTACTTGTGAGTTGCATCCTGTGCCAATGGGCTGTCGTTGTACTAACTAGGGGTAGGGATATTCCACTCGTACTGGCTTTCTATCTGGGCTATAAGTTCTGGATGAAGACAGAAACGGTATCGAGTTACGAGATACCGCTGGAGCAGGCTCTGCTTGAGTGTCGCAATGACCCTGATAATGTACCCATTCAGCGGAGCAAGTGGGCGAGGTGGAATATTTTGTGGGGATAATAGACCTCGGGACAGAGCAGGTTCTTATAGGTAGGTCATATAATCCCACGAAACTATATCAATAGACTAACACATGTACCGCACCCAGGGAGAGGGAACATATACGATCATTATATGACACGTCATCTCAGGATTACGCAAGAAGCAATGCAGCGCCTGATTAGTAGTCCAGTACCATGTGCTCCAGCAAAGCAGCATACACCAGCGCTTAATATCTCCGGTTCACTCGCTGTCAGCTGCAATGTATGCATACAATGCAGTAGCCTCGTCATCACGCTTTCTGTCAAGTTCCGAGTCGGCCGCAATATACGCATATAGCGCAGTGGCTTCGTCATCGCGTTTCCTGTCCAGCTCCGAGTCGGCAGCAATGTACGCATATAGCGCAGTGGCCTCGTCATCGCGCTTCTCTTTGTCGTCGATCTCGGTGTCGGCGACAATATAACCATACAACGCGGTGGCTTCGTTGCCTGCTCTCTCCCGAAGAGTATGGAAGTCCTCCGACCTGACGCGAAGGGTCACTGCTGCTGGTGTGTGTCAGTGGCATAATATTCTCTATCAGTCAAAGTTCCTGGGGGTTGCATACGCTTGGCTGTTGGCGCAGACATGGCCATGGGACTCAACAACAGTCCGTAGATGGCTGAGAGGGGGAGCGAATACTTCATTGTGGACTAGGTGGACTTCCGGAAATCTGCTGGGGACTTGAGGGTAGAACAAAAGATGCCTCAACAATCAAGATGGCAGGAAGAAGGGGCCTATTTATGTGGACTTCGGTCATCGGTCGTGCTGCTTGCATCTCCCCGGTCGTCGCCCGTGATCAAGCGGGGTGAAACATCTACACAGCCGAGGTGTAGTATCCGCTCACACCAGTGTGACTGTGACAGCAGCAAGTATCTGCGCCTGTTTCAATTAGGGAAGAATGTAACGATCCCCTCAATGAAGGTAGTTGGATGGCATGTGCGGTGGCAACAGTTCACGAGCACTAATGCATGCTTGACAGACGATTGATGCATCCTGATACTTCCACGGGGGTGTTGCGCAGTTCAGCTGACCACAATGAAAGTAGCGAGGATATTTGACCTTCCTTGCACCGACAAACAGCTCCAATCTTCTGCCAATTTCTCTCTCTCAAATCTGACAGAAAATGATGAAAATGAAGCCTGCTGCATCTCCATCATACGAGCCGCTGGGGACCAGAGACAACGACGATGTCGTCTACAGCGTGTCTGGGGATACGCAAAGCGAGTACGATGTATCTCTCTTGAAGCAAGCACGCCAACGGCCTCAACACTCCAATAGACGCCTTCAATTGCTCCTCTGGCTGAATGCTACTGTTTTTGCGCTGTCACTCTTTCTCTTTGCCATGACTGTCAGCATCGTTCGGGGCACTGGCGACCCAAACCATCTCTTACGAAAGACCTCCGAGTACTGTGAGTGTGGCTCGACTATGACCGTCATCTCAGATTGCTGACCAGTTGCAGCTCCTGTGTTCGATAGCCTTGAGATACCCCTCATCAGCAAGAAAATGAATGCGACGCTACTGGAGCCAGACCCCCTTCCCATCTACCGCCAACCCCCTAGCCCGGAGGTAGACGCAGCCTGGAACCGACTGGCGAACATTAACCCCATCGCCATCAGTCGTGATGACGTGGCCACGCTGGGAAGGGATCCTGAGCAGGCAGCCAAATGGCCCGAGAGCTTTGGCTTTGGATCCGAGGCGTACATTGGGCGACTGGATGTCTTCCACCAGATCCATTGTCTGGATTGGCTGCGGCGTGAAGCGTACTTTGACCACTACTATGGAAAGAAGTGGCCGCCGGGAACCCCGCCCTCTGACATGCATCGGACGCATATCTCCCACTGCACCTACCTGCTGCTCCAGAACCTGATGTGCAACGCTAATGTCGACATCTACACCCATTACTGGGCGGATGCTCAGCTGAACGCCTTCCCCGACTTTAACGTGAACCACAAATGTCGTGATTTTGACGCCATCTTGCGCTGGCAGGAGGAGAACTCGGTGAATGTGGATGAGTTTGCAGCCATTAGAAAACCCCCCGAAGCAGAGGCCCGGGTCATGTCGCATCGATTCAAGGAGTTGTTTGGTTGGTACAAGTCCAATCCGGATGATGGCTCGGACAGTGGGGTCATTGGATGATCATAGCTAGCGTGGTCGAGTACTTGGATGGTAATATCATGTTCATGATCGGCTGCTTATCCGCGGAAGGATGAGAGTGGGGTTAGGCTGTAAATGGCGTGTGAGTTGTCAAGCGTTAGCCTAAGCATGCTGGATCTTCCATCCCTGCAGGCGCCACCAAGCATTTGATAAGACACTGTAGTTATTAATTGGTCAATTACCCCCCGGAAATGTAATGACGATGCATGCCCCCTTGTATGCATCCCAGTTTTGTAGCTGACATGTCACGATCAATTGGTCCTTCTAGGGGGACACAATGTGTGCTCCCAGAATAGGGATTCTGCGATGTAACCGCACCATGCACGAGACAACCTGTGCGTTTCACTCGATGCCATCACGACACACGGGCGAGGTTTGATTTCTGGGGGTTCGTCACGCACTGCATCTTACTTGGTATGTCTGACTTGAGCAATTTTTGTAGTTGGAAGGCCTCCTCCCTCTTGCCCTCCCTAACAACTGGAGATCCAAAAAGAAAACCCCAACATGCCCACACAAACACGCTTCCTCTATAGTATACTAGCAACACTTATCTTTCTCCTTTTCACAACTCTTGGTATCATATACACATCAACCGGCAGCTTAGCCAGTTTCTCCCAAAAGTTCCACATACATGTTTGTCCAAGCGAGCCTCGATCTACACCTCCAATCATCCGGAAATTCCAATCATTGACTCCGTTACTGGGTGCTAAATCCGATGGCTCTCTACCTCATGATACAAATCGCTCATGGGAATCTCTTCTTCTCCCCGAAAACGGCGGTATTCTGAAGGTCCGGACGGATAACAACACCATTACCGACTACGGGATCTCCATGTTCCATCAGCTTCATTGCCTAACTGTTCTTCGGGGGCTGATTTTCCCTGAAACCTCTCAGCATCACGGTGTTTCGACCTCGCCGTCACATTCGGGTGATGAGCATGAAGACGCAGTGCACTGGGCTCATTGTTTTGATTATATTGCCCAGGTGAGTGGGGTGATCCTTCTGGGCGCGGTAGAGTTCGAGAATACTGACAATGAAAAGTCCATAATATGTGCAGCAGATGGTACTATTGAGCCACCTCATCCAGCGCTTAATAAAGATGGGAATCGAATCCTCGTCATCGATGGGATTGGGCATGCCCATCAATGCAGGGACCCGGAGCCGTTATGGAGGGCTGTTCGAGATAGTGGGAGTAATCCCGTCTATCTTTCTGAAGTGAAGGATACTGTCGGCCATAGTGAGTTTCCTCTAAAGGAGGAAGCTACGTGCCAGAGTGCTTGTTCGATGCCAGAGCCATACCGGATTGAATGAGACAGTGGTTAGGAATATGGTAGATAATCGTCGGACATAGTGAACGACGTGCTGTGAAATAACTGGGCTGCTAGAAGCCGTACATCTCAAATCATGGACTTCCATCTGGTAGATTGCGGAGTAGACACACTATGAACGATTTGTTCGCAGTTAGGGCGCGCTGGCCTCGGCTTCACCCAAGTTGGGAATCCCGAGATAACTCTGGAAGGGTTTTGTCATGTAGGCAAATTCCGGTCGCATATCTCAACCAAAGTAGAACCCAGATGCGATTACTCATGCACAGGAACTGAAAGCTTCTTACACTCAAGCTCATCTAGTGGGCGATTATTAACAACAAAGCGTAAGCATGATACGGGACAAAAGGAGGGAGCGCTTCAGGCCGCCTCCAGGCTGCCATGCGCTGACGCACCAAACCAGGGTCCCTAGTCAGTCACGAGCCATTACAACCTCAATCTTATCGCGCCCCTTGAACCCCCAATTTCTTCTCCTCAAATCCTCATCACATTGCATTCTTTCTCTCTCTCTCGCTGTTGCAAAGATTGCGTTGTTAACCACCCTTCCATCTACCTCATCTACCATATCTGTATGCTTCCCTTTTCACATCACCATGGCGGGTAGCTGCTCCCCCGCTGCAGATAACTCGTTCGGACCGGTCGTCGCGTGTCCAGCAACATTTGACTTCACTCTGCTCTTCGAGCAAAGTATCCTCTCTATTGGCCCATCCGCCATCTTTCTACTCCTGATTCCATGGCGTATCTGGTCGCTCTATCCAGAGAATGTCAAAACTGTTGCGAACAACGCCCATTGGCGAAAACTAGTCAGTTGCCCCCCTATAGAAACAGCGGAATTCTGCCAGAAGCCGTACCTGACCAAATGAAGACCGTCGCAGTTTGTCTCCTTGCTCTGCAGATTGCCTCGGTGGTTGAATGGGCGCGCTATAACTTAGTCCGGACTGCCATTCCTGCTGTCGCCGTGTCGCTGGTGGACGCTCTATCAATAGCTATTCTATCAGCCATCGAGCACAATCGCTCAGTGCGCCCATCGTCGCTATTGGGCATCTACCTCCTCTTTTCATCCCTCTTCGATGCTGTGCAAGTGCGCACATTATTTATCCGACATTACCCGTCCTCTCTAGGAGCTCTCTCTGCAGCAACTGTTGCTCTGAAGCTTCTTCTGCTGGCCCTAGAAGCCCAAAACAAACGCGGCTATCTCAAAGAACCGCTTCTCGCAATTCCGCCCGAGTCTACCAGTGGAGTATTTGCTCGCACCGTTTTCTGGTGGCTCAACCGTCTATTCGTTGTAGGTTTTCGGAAGCTCTTGACGCTCGAGGATTTGTTCCCAACGGACAGCGACCTGAAGTCGGCAGGTCTGAGGCGAAAGATTGGAAAAGCCTGGAAAAAGTACCAGTCCAGCCAAACACGTAGTCTAATTTTTGCGACTTTTATCAGTCTGCGTTGGGCAGTTCTCCGTACTATTTTCCCCAGGCTCTGCCTCATTGGATTCAGCTATGCGCAGACATTCTTCATCCAGCGTGCAATGGAGCAGCTACACAGGCCAGATACGCAGTCAATCAGAAACGAAGGTTACGGATTGATTGGTGCAGCAGCGCTCATCTATGGTGGGATTGCAGTATGCAGCCATATTACTTACTAACTTTTCAGACTGAGCTGACGGAGTTAGATATCAACGGTGCATTACAAACACCAATTATTTCGCATGATCACGATGTTTCGTGGCGCAACAGTTGCCCTGATCTACGATCACACCATGGTTCTACCAGATGGAACTCGCGATGAATCGGCTGCGGTTACGCTAATGAGTACTGACATTGACATGATCGCGCGATCGCTAGAGCAAGCTAGCGAGCTGTGGGCCCGCGTGGTGGAGATCGCTATCGGTATTTGGCTGCTAGAGCGGCAGCTCGCTGCTGTTTGTGTGGCCCCGATCCTCGTAATCCTGGGTAAGTCTCCCTCACCTGACCTAGTTCTATCACTAAATCATCATAGTATGCACATCCGTTCAAATGTATATGGCCACCTTCATGCCTGCCAGGCAGAAAGTCTGGGTCGGGGCTATCCAACGGCGAGTCAGCATAATCTCCTCGGCGCTGAAATCAATGAAAAGTGTCAAGATGCTCGGTCTTTCTAAAGTGCTCGCCAATACCCTTCAGGCGCAACGAGAGCGCGAACTAGACTTGTCTAGGGACTTCCGATGGTTGATCGTGTGGCTGAACGTGGTTGGTAAGTAACTCACTCTAGGCCGGCGTTGAACCAAGTTGGCTGACAACATGAAGCAAGTTTGCCTCAGATGTGTGCCTCTCTCGTTACATTTGCGGCTTTCGTTATTCGCGCAAAGATTGATCACTCAGAGACACTATCGACCGTGCAAGCATTTACATCCCTTGCAATCATTAGTCTTATCACAAGCCCGGCGCTACAGTTATTGGCATCAATCCCGGCAATAACTGCCGCTTTGGGTGCCTTTGACCGAATTCACAAATTCCTCACTTCTCCCACAGATCACTTACCAGCCGAGAGAAGCCTGGACACAGAGTCAGACCTTTCTACCAGGAATGGATCGGCGGTCGAACTGAAGGTCTTGGCACCAAAGTCCTCCGACCATGTTGTTCTAACCATGACGGACGCTTATATCCGTCCAGCTACTGGATCCGCGTTCTCCCTTGAGGGTATCCATCTAGTCATCAAGACGGGTACAGTAACAATGATTACTGGCCCGGTTGGGTCTGGGAAGTCGACTCTGTTAAAAGCAGCCGTAGGGGAGATACCATGTAGCCAAGGAACGGTTACACGACTGCGACCGGATGCTGCCTATTGCAGCCAAGTTCCATGGCTCCAGAACGCTTCCATTCGCAACAACATATGTGGTTATACTGAGATAGACCATACCTGGTATAGTGAGGTACTAAGGGCGTGTGCCTTAGAAGAGGACATCTCTCGAATGCCGGGGCGTGATCATTCTGTGGTCGGTAGCGGGGCTCTCAAGCTGAGTGGAGGACAGAAGCAGCGTCTGGTACATCACCGCAGACACAATACTGTTACGTCACTAACAAAATTATAGGCACTGGCTCGGGCGATCTACTCAAGGAAAAACCTTCTGGTGCTAGACGATGCACTAAGTGCTGTTGACAACAAGACCGCACAGTATGTCGCAGAGGCTCTATTTGGCGATAATGGAATATGCAGACGCATAGGTGTGGCTGTATTGATGGCAACTCATTCAGGTCAGTATTTTTTTCCGCGACAATGTGTGCAGTTAGAACTAAAGTATCGTTCAGACCACCATCTACGCTTCGCAGATAGCGTTATCATATTAAACTCGAGCGGACGTATCGAAAAACAAGGCCCCAGGCGGAGCTTAGGTTTCGCCTCGCATGTATATCCTGACACCACGGATGCCACTCCAGAGACCCCGACTGTCCTCACTGACAGCGGAGAGGAGACGTCTACCAAAAAAGTTGAAACACTGACTGTCGATGACATAGCTGATATATCCCGCCGTATGGGTGATACTGCAGTCTACACCTACTACCTGAAGGCGATAGGATGGCGTCACACGTTGGTTGCCTGCACGATTATTATTGTACACACATTCTCCTCTGTGTTCCCTCGTAAGTGCATTTCTGACCGTGTGTTTGACTCCGCTAATGGGTTTGTAGAAATATGGTTGGAGTTGTTTACGGATGACAATGAAAAGAAGGCTGCCCAGTTTATTGGTGTTTACGTCCTACTTGCTGTGGCCGCCTCAGGCTCGCAGGGACTAATGATATGGTGGGCTCTTAACAAAGCTTGCTTGTATGCTACGCTAACCAACCACAGGCAAATCATGATCAAGATTGTCATCACGTCAGGGCTGGGACTACACAAGATTCTTGTCCAAACCGTAATAAATGCACCGATGCATTTCTTCGCCGAGGTTGATTCCGGAGTCATCCTCAACAGGTTCAGCCAGGACATGACACTTGTCGACGCTGTACTACCCACGATGGCGTTTGGCACAGTCCTTAGTAGGTTCGGCTAATGTTACAGTGACTCAACACTAAAATTTCGCAGGTATCGCACAGTGCTTCGCTCAGGTTGCCTTAATCTCGCTGGGCTCCAGCTACATGGCGCTGACAATCATTCCGTGCTTACTAGTATTGTACTGCGCCCAGAAAGTCTATCTGAGGACGTCCAGACAGCTCCGGTTTCTCGATCTGGAAGCCAAAAGCCCATTGTATACAATGTTCGTGGAAACTCTTGACGGTATCTCTACAATTCGCGGCCTTGGCTGGCAGCGGTCATTTGTAGCAGAGTGCTTACGTCGGCTTGACGATTCGCAAAAGCCTTACTACCTTCTCTATTGCATCCAGCGATGGCTCAACGTTGTTCTTGACCTTCTTGTTGCTTGCTTGGCGGTGATACTAATTGCACTGGCAACCTCTTTACGGAGCTCGACCGATCCAGGAAAATTGGGAGTTTCTTTGACAGCAATCATGGCATTCAGCCAAACCCTGCAGGAAGTTGTGACCAGTTGGACGGGCCTGGAAACATCCCTTGGTGCAATTGCACGGACAAGATCTTTTGAGTTGAAAACACCCACTGAGTATCAACCCCAGAAACCAGTGATCCCTTCGTCAACTTGGCCTGTTGATGGGAATATTGAGATCAGGTCTCTTTCTGCTTCCTATGAGTGCGTACCCTCCCGCTAACAATAGCACATCACTAACGAACGCAACAGTGGCGTCACACGTGCGCTAGACGAAATCAATCTGACCATGAACCCTGGGGAAAAGGTGGTTATACGTGGCCGGACTGGCAGGTAAGTACTGCAAACATACGACCTATACCTTACGCTGACATTGATCCAAGCGGGAAGAGCACACTGGTCTCGGCCCTTCTCCGACTGATTGATACCCAGAGCGGCACGATTACAATTGACTGGATAGACATCTCCACCGTTCCACTAGATGTACTCCGATCCCGTATTATCGTCATTCCCCAGGACCCTTTTCTACTCCCTGGATCTATCCGCTTCAACCTGGACCCGACTAGTCGATCTACAGACTCAATGTTGCTTTCAGCATTAGAAAAGGCTAATCTGCTCTCTCTTGTCACGTCGCGTGGGGGGCTGGATGCGGAATTGACACCGACCTCCTTGTCCCAAGGCGAGCAAAGACTGTTTGCGCTGGCAGTCGCGCTGGTGCGGAAATGGAGTCGCGACAGTGATGCTCGCGATAGCGGCGGCATTTTGATTCTTGATGAAGCAACGAGTGGCACGGACGCTGTCACTGATGCGCTGATGCAGAAGGTTATCGATGATGTGTTCGGTCGATATACGGTTCTCCATGTATTGCACCGGCCTGATAGTGTGAGGGGGGCAGATCGAGTTATTGAGATGGAAAATGGTCGTATCGTGAGGGACTATCCCACGAATTAGCGACGTCGCGAAGTCGTTGCTCTTCATTTAGTTGATACTGCCATTCACATCCAGTGATTATCGATCTAAAAGTCCACCGTTTCATTGTAACGCGTCAGGTAATCCGATATCTACCTACATCTCACAGACAAGCATACCCAGCCAGTCCTTCTGCCGATACCTGATCCGTGCAATCGCCTATCCCCGCCCAGCGGGGACCCACTAGCGAGGTGCATGAGGGCAAGGAACAGACTCCCGCGGATGCGCAGATTAAGTCGTATCCGAGTCAGCCGGTGGAGCAGAAGAGGAGGAATGTTGAGGATGTGGGGAGGGGGCCTTTGGGGGTGGAGGACGGGCAGTGAAAGTAAACAATCGGGGTTTGTTACAGGGTAGTTGTAGTTACTGTAGGTTTGGTAATGGTGGTGTTGCGACCGTGGAGACGTGGAATTGCTGTGGATAGAAAGAGAAGTAGATCAGATACAGAGAAATCTTGTCAAACCTTACTCCCCTCATTGTTATATCATCGGAAATCTGAAATATGGAGGATATCTATATTATCGCGTTGTCAGTGCAGTGCATTCCTACTGTATCAATGCACGTTCTGTGCTGTATATAGTACCACGCTAGTCTTGTTCTGGTCGATCCACTATACCATTATTGGGCAGATTTGGTCTCGTATGGTACTACCAATACCATGAGATCAATCAGTGGTGGACACGTGCATCAGGGTAGTAGCAGAAATACTGCGGAGTTCAATATCATCCAGAATTACAAGGTAATTGAACCATGATGAACTATCTCGTTTGGTTTAATTTATTCTCTGATCACGTTATGAGGTAGAATGATGCCGAATCGGTTTAGTACTCACGGGTTATAGTTATATATATCCATGCTCAAGGGCATCATGCTCGATTCGACTTGCAAGCAGAATGATCAAAGGTTGGATCCTGCTGTGGTAAATATGATGAATTACTGACTATAAAACAAGTTACAGTGAGATTAGACTACTTTCTTGTTCATTGCAATCACAAATAGCATTATTGATGATGTTGTCGAGTTACCCCTAAACGACATACTTCTTTACACTTACCCTCCCTTGATAATGCTCTAAATCTCACCCATTCAACATCCTAAGGCAAGATGGCCGAGTTGGTCCAAGGCGTCAGGTTAAGGTCCACCTTAATACCCAGCTTCACAGCTTCCTGATCATCGTAAGATGGCGTGGGTTCGAATCCCACTCTTGTCATATGTTTTTTCTTTCTGCACGATATTCCCTGTGTTGGATACCAATTGATTTGATGAGTTAGTTATTCTTTTGCTTTTTTTTGTTCCCTTGCTTCTTTTTCTTCTTCTTCCTTGATATTTTTTATTTTTTATTTTTATTTTTTCGTTTAATTTCCTTCCCTTCTTTTTTATGAGCTTCTACTCTTTATGTGCTCCCGTAAATATGCATGCTTGCAGGTTTTGG